AGTAGGCCATGTGAGAGTCCAGCACCTCAACCACTGCACCACCTGCTGGCCCAGATAATGTTCTTTCATAAAACATCTTTTATAAAAATACTGTTAACATATAATGGTCTGGTATTTTCAGTGAATTAATGCATTTCACATTTCTCAGTTTTAATTTCTCACTTTCTCATTCCAAATAAAAATATAGGTAGGTGTACAGTTTCTGAGGATCTGAGGTACAGCATGAGTGGTGTAGATGTGTTCACTTCATTATGGTAATTGCTACACAGGGTATGTGTGTGTTTCAAGTCATCATGTTGTATACCTTAAATATACTCAATCTTTGTCAAGCAAATATTTTTTAATTAAAAAAATATATATAGATATTATTCATATAAACAAAAGCTCATTGGCATCTCATATATTAAAGAATATTGAAGATCCTGGAAGCTGAGCAGTGGTGCTGCAGTAATAATACTCTGTGGGTGTGACCCACATGGGCAGGTTCTGTGTTCACATCCAGACCTCCCTGAACTTCCTGGGTATGCACATGTCCATGATACAGGGCTAGTGGAAGCTGGGGGTGGATTGTGACATCAAGCTCTTTGTGGGAGGCCTGTCTTGTTCCTCTCATTCATGGAAAACTAATTTAAAAAATAGCAAAGTATAAAAGATCCTGAGACCAGAAAATTTGAAAACTACTGTTCCATAACAAGTGACATGTTAGAAATAGGGATTTCTGCCTCAGGACCACCAGTTGGCATAATGGCTATGTTGTTGGACTCCCATATAGTCAACTGCAGTTCCAGTCCCGGACCCGGTGACTTAAACTCACACCAGGCGCATGTGCGTGCGTGCCCAAGATCCTGAGAGGAGAATGGAGGAAAAGGGATTGCAGCATGGCCATCACCCCAGCGGGTGATTTCTTGCTTTCTGTCTCTGTGTCTCTGTCTTTCTCGTGAGCGCAGGCACCCTGTAGCAAAAACCTCTCCAAAAAAAAAAAAAGGAAAAAAGGAAAAAGAAATACGGATGCCTTTAGAAGTTAAATCAGAGGACTCATTTGAATCAGTAGCTGTACTCTTGCCTCTAGCGTGGTCTAAGAGTGTAGTGTAAGGAACATCTTCATCAGCATCACCAGGGAGCTAGGGCCGGCAGGTGGCAATGTGGTTAAGGTACTGTTCATGGCTGACTGCAGTTTAAGTCCTGGACCTAGCAGCTTGCTTTCTCACTTTTTTGTCTTTCTATCTCTGTATGTCTCTGTCCCTCCCTGGTCAAATTTTTAAAATAATAATAATAAACTTAAATAAATAAATAAATAATTCTTTAAAACAATAAAGAAAGAAGGAAAGAAATGCAGGCTCTTGGGCCTTGTTCCAGACTTCATGAATCAGCATCTTTGTTTTAAGGAACTAGCAGATGGTATAATGGTTACGTTGCTGGACTCCCATGTAGTCAACCGCAGTTCGAGTTCTGGACTCGGCAGCTTGAAACTCATGCCAGGTCCATGTGCACACATACCCAAAATCCCGAGAGGAGACTGGAAGAAAAGGGACTGTGGCATGGCCGTCTCCCCCACGTCCCGAGAGGATTTCTCACTTTCTGTCTGTCTGTCTCTCTCTCTCTCTCTTTCTCTCTCCAGCAAGCACATGTGCCCTATAGCAAGAACCTCTCAAAAAAAAAAAGAATCTTCATTTCAATAAGATCCTCAAATGATTTTTATGCTTATAAAAGTTTTAGGAGTGCTAGTCTATATTACAACATAATACCATTTATTTCAATGCAACTTTTTCCCCAAAATGGTTAAAAGAAACAGTATAAATAAGTTTATCTTCATTACAGATATGTGTTTTGTAAAACTATATATAATTTAGTGTATATATGCATGGACACTAACAGGCTACTGATAGTTTTGTTAGGTTGTCTGTTGATACTGTTTGTAAAATAATTTATTTTTAACCATATCGTTCTCCTAGTTACCATAAAACCTTATACAGGAAAGAACTTTGGGCTAAAAGTCCAAACCCTTGGATCTGGATTATAAATTCACTAACATTGTCACACTGGACAAAAATTCAAACCAATTTCCCCATTTATAAATGGAGTAAATACCTTGTTTATCAGAATTAAATAAAATGTTGAAAACTGTTAAAGCACTGATAAATATTAATTATTTTAAGATTTGCTAGTAATTTTATGTTGGACTTGAATGCATTATTAATGCATGACCTTTAAGGGAATTCTAATATATATTTAAGACAGTTCATTTCACTAGAGTTTGTTATTAATGAGGTTTTATCCTCTAGTGATTCAGTTATCTTTATTCTATGTCTAAACTACAGCACAAACTCCAGCAGATTTGGGTAAGATTATATGAATAGGTCAATACTGATTCATCCTCATTGTAATAAGAAAATAATCAACACAAATCTAATGGTAGTCAGTCAGTGCCATCCTGTGTGAAGAAGTAACTGGTATTAAAAAGTCTTCTCAACTCTGAGAGCTTTGAGACTCCCCCTGGTGGCTACCTGGTAGAAATAATATAACAATAATAACAGTATACAACTATCTTTAACATTATTTCTATTTGCATTTTGCCACTCTTTTAAGGCAAATCATAAGTAACAGGAAGACGGGCCAGCAGGTGGTGTAATGGACTATCTGACTGGACTACTACATAGTCAACTGCAATTCGAGTCCCAGACTGAGCGGCTTAAGCTTACACTGAATGTGTGCTCATGCGTGCTCAAGATCCTGAGAGGATACTAGAGGAGAAGGGACTGTGGCGTGGCCATCCTCCAGGGGGTGATTTCTCATTTTCTGTCTCTGTCTCTCTCTGTCTTTCTGGCAAGTACAAGCGCCCTATAGCAAAAACCTCTCTTTAAAAAAAGTAACAGGAAGAAAAACCATAGTTTTAGCATTAGCCAGTTCCCTAAGAACTGTGGTATAAACTGAGGCCAGGTGCGTGTGTGTGCTTGCCCAAAGTCCCAAGATGATAATAGAGAAGGGATTGCAGTGTGGCCATCTCCCCTGGAGGAGTGATTTCTCATTTTCTGTCTCTCTGTCTCTGTCTGTTTCTATAGCAAAAACTCTATTTAAAAAAAAAGAAAGACGGAAGGAAAGAAAGAAAAACACCAGAAAAGATGAAAATAAGAGTTATTAGGACATTACTAACTAGAAAGGAGGGAAAGACTAAATAGAAGTAACAGTAATCACGGTATTTAAAACAGTGATGAGTGAGACGCTAACACTTATTAATTTGGCAAGGTTAACAATAGACCCTTTACATAGTTTAATTTTATCCTTTTATTCCTGAATCTTGTAGATAAGGAGCTTAAGGTTTAAGGGATTGAGTATTGACAGTGAGTACATGATGGAAGAATTACATTTGATGTGTGTACTTCTTGATGAGAAAGCCTTTGGCCATAATTATATATTTCATTAAAAACAAGTAAAGGTCTGATAATGTAGCCTGTTGGTGCGCCCAGACAGATCCCACATGACCAACCACAACCACACTTCAAATCCTGGCCCCAGCAACTTAAAAAACAGTCTAGGTATGTGTGTATAGAGTGCCCCCAAATAATGACAAGATGGAGAAATGGAGGAGTTAGGATTGCAGCATGGCAAGACCCTATTGTGGTGTGCTTTCTCTCTTTTTCTCTGTCTCCTACAAGCAAGCACATGCATCCTCATATTTATATGAACAAATTAAGGCCAGCCAGTGGTGCGATGGTTAGGACAGGTGATTGGATCCTCCATGGCCCTCTGCATGGTTAGTCTTAGACCCAGTGGCTTGAGAAACATGCCAGGTTCTTGTGTACAAATGCCCAAAATCCCAAAAGGAAGGACAAATGGAGGTGGGATTGTGGTATGACCATTCCTCACAGAGAGTGCTTCCAGCCCACCCCATCTCCAACAAGTGCACACACCTTCTGGCAATATATATATATATATATATATTCAGTATATTCAAGTTGTTGGGACCAGCAGATAGCATGGTCATTAAGGTGCCTCACTACCACATGGCTAACTGTGCTTCAAGTACTGGACCTGGCAGCTTGCTTTCTCTCTCTCTTTCTTTTTCTCTCTCTTACTGGTGAGCACATGAGCCCTATAGCAAATTTTAAAATAATAATGATAATAAAATTAAATAATTCCCTTAAAAATTATTTTTAAAGGTAAATTCATCTTTATAATAGAAAAATCCAAATGAAAGTTTTATGTAAAAATACTATTTCAAGATTATACTCACAAATGTACATCAAGTTTTAAATCAGTTTGGTATGTATTTCTATCAATTTGATGCTCCTTAATTTATATTGGTAAAAATAGCTGTTATAAATGGAGAAATTAAAAAGTTGATCTGAAGTAGTTTTAGAAGAATATAAATTATATGGTACATTTGCACACAAAATAATAATAATTATTATTTTTTAAACTTGGTATGAGAGACCAGCAGATGGCATAATGGTTATATTGCTGGACTCCCACATGGCGGACTCTGGTTCAAGTCCGGTATCTGGCGGTTTGAAACTCAGGCTGGGGGTGTATGCATGCCCAATATCTCAAGAGGAGAATGGAAAAGGGATTGTGCTGTGGCTGTGCCTCTTGGAGCAGGGGGTTGATATCCCACCTTCTGTCTTTCTGTCTCTCTCTATGTCTCTGGTGAGCACATGTACCCTATAGCAAAAAATCTCTTAAAAAAAAAAAAAAAAGAAAGAAAGAAAGAATAAACTTGGTATAGGACACATGACTCACTGGAGAGAAATAGAGAGAAAAAGAGGGAAAGTGAGAAAGCACCATGCAGGGAAATGGCCATGCCACAGTCCTTTCTCTATTCTCCTCTCGGGATTTGGAGCACAAACACGCACCTGGCATGTTTTTCAAACCACTGGGTCTGAGACTTGAACTGTGCCATCAGCCATGTAGGATCCAGCTGGTTCCAAAATATTTAAGTTTTTCTTTTGTCATATGAAAAAAATAATGTACATTCTTCTCCCCTCCCACCCCCGCTTTTCCAGGTATAATTGTCCAAAATGTGGCTCTACTGGTGAAGCTGAAAATGCCTGTTACAGATATAAACTTTCCTTAAAAGTTGCAGAAACAAACAAATTGTTTGTCATAACTATATTTGGAAGTGCCTTAGACACCTTTTTTGGTCTTACTGCTACTGATTTGCACAGGTAAGAATATTTATAGCATTCTTTTTCCTATTTGCTCCTTTAATATGCCAATAGAATTTGAGGATAAGTGTTTTTAAGGTAATATGCATGTACTACATAAGATAAGTATTGGACTTCGGGTCATTAGTTCATTTAAAATACAATCGAGTAAAAAAGGTAAAGATGTTTATTTCCTGAATACATGTTGTGATAATGTTGAACCAGTCTTCTCTTATTCGGGACAACTAAGCTGTTATTATAATAGAATATTAAATTACAGAGCTCTAATTTAAGTTAGAGAAATATGGACTAAGAAAGTAAAATTCTTCAAAAAGAAGAATTATCCAAATTGAAGTTAGCATTCAAGTGCTTGAGGTCCCCAGAGGCAGAAGCTATTTAAGGGAATATTTGCATATCAGAAGTAGAAATTTTGTTATTTTTCTCACTTGTTTGCAACTTCAGCTGCATAGTTTGACCTATTAAAAAGTCCTGAGGTAAAGATATGTGAAGAGTCTTCTAAAAGTTCATTAAACAAAAAATATATCTTATGAAAAAACTAGGCATGGATTTAATTTTTATTTTTTGTACCAAAATAAACTCATACTTGAATCCTTTTTTTTTCCCTGAGCTTTTTGAAGTCCCCTCTTATATAAGCAGTTTTCCTCACCCCTCAATCTTCTGCCCGCCTCCCCTAATCACTTGGCAGAAGAATCTATGTTCATGTCCTTGTAGTTAAGGACAAACTGATTAGAAGAAAGGGACAGTAGAGGGACCACAGCCAAGATTGCCAGAGAGGTAAGATTTCCCTCTGCTTTGAGATGAAGAGCTAGAGATTCTTCCAGTCTTCCCACTGCCAGTTTTATTTTTCCCTGGAAGAATTGCTAGGGCTGATATTTAAGAAAATATCTACTTTATTCACTATCAGTTCGGTTTTTGGCATGGTTTGTTATTTTGTTTGTTTCTTTGTTTAACTTTCTACTCTATGAGAAGCAGAGAGAACAAAATGCCTATTTATTTATTTTGCTATAGGATACATGTGCTCATCAGAGAGAGACAGTGAGGAAAGAGAGAGAGGTTAAAATGAGAAAACAAGGGGCTGCCAGGTGGCATGTTAGTTAAGCACGCTGGACTCCCACATGGCTGACCACGGTTCAAGTCCCAGACCTGGTGGCTTGATTTCTCATTTTCCCTCTGTTTTTCACTCTGTCTCTCTCCTCTCTGGTTAAATTATAAATAAGTAAAGTTAAAATAAAGTAATTCTTTAAAAAAAAAAAAAATGAGAAAGTAAGCTGCCAGGTCCAGGATTCGAACCACAGTGGGCCATGTGGGAGTTTAACACCTTAACCACTACTTCATGTGCTGGCCCTAATGCCTAGCTCTTGAAGTCGTTATTTTCCTCTATTTGTAACTCAAAGGGCTCATACTGCATTTTCAAACTAATTATGTCTTTGGACTATGAAAAGCATCTCTTCAAGAACCAGCAGATGGCATAATGGTTATGTCACTGGACTCCCACTCAGTTGACTGTGCTTCGAGTCTTGGACCTGGCTGCTTGAAAAATTCACGCTATGCATGTGTACGACGTGCATGCCCAAAATCCCAAGAGAAGGGATTGTGGCATGGCCATCCCGCTGGGGGCTGATTTCTCACTTTCTGTCTCTCTCTCTCTCTCTCTCTCTCTGTCTCTCCATTCAGTGCATGTGCCCTATAGTAAAAATCTCTCTTAAAACAAAAAAAAGATGAACAGTATCTCTTCCCATTTTTTTTTTTTTCCTTTCCAATCAAGGTATATTCAGAATCCTGATAAGATTCCAGAAACACTGGACAGTAACACAACTCAGGACCTACTTATTAGAGCAGCTGAAACCTGCTTTGTTGGACAACGCTTTATTTTTGGAGTAACGGTAATTGATACTAGCATTCCATTTATTAGCCTTAACATTTTTGTTGTAATGAAAGTATTTGTATTTTCTAACTAGGTGTTAGAAGTTACATAAATTTGATGAACTGTAGAAACACTTTGAGCTGTGTGAAAATAGCCAATAGGTAATCTGTGAAAGTAACTTGTATGACAACTTCCTCTTTCAAAAGTCAGAAGAGCCCAGCTCAAATACATTCAGAGCTCAACAGACATAAATTTATCATAAATTCATAAGTGTATGATATTTGATTTTGCTATTTGGTGTTTATTTCACTTTCAAATTTTGTTCTAATTCTGTGGTAAAATTTTCATCAGTTCTCTAGCTTTTTATTCTATCATCTATAAAGAAGGAGGGAATTAACACTGAAGGCTATGTTAAGTATCAGTAAGAACTCTAAGAGTAGAATAAAGGAAGATTTGGGGCTGGATCTCACATGACCAACTGCAGGGTTCAAGTCCTGGACCCAGCAACTTGAGAAACATGCCAGGCATGTGTATGTGCATACCCAAATTCATGACCATTCCCTGTAGGAGTTACTTTCTCCTCTCCCTCTTCATCCTCTCTCTGGAAAGCACACACACCATTTGGCAAAATTTAAAACTTTAATTGAAAAGAAAAAGAGGGATGACCTTAAATAATTACAAAAGTAACTGTAAAAAAAGTTAAAAAATATATTGACTCTGAAGAAATAATGGTTTTATGTCTCATCTATATTTAAAGAGAAGGTGGAAATAATTTTGTTGTTGCTACAGGGCATGTACACTCACCAGAGAGAGAGAGAGAAAGGGAGAAATCATCCTCCCAGGGCTTTCTCCTATAGGGCACATGCACTCACAGGAGAGACCGACAGAAAGTGAGAAATCACCCTCCCCTCCACAGAATGGCCACGTCACAAACCCTTCTCGTCTGTTCTTTTCTCAGGATTTTGGGCATACTTGCACATGTGCCTGGCATGAGTTTTAAGCCACCAGGTCTTAAACTACGGAACTGGCCATGTGGGATCTAGCACCTTAACCTCCACACCATCTGCTGGTCTTGGAATCAATATTTTAAAAGAAGCAATAGAGGAGCCTGTAGGTGGGGTGTGTTATAGCACTGGACTCCTATGTGGCTGGCTGACCAAGGTTCAAGTCTCAGACCCAGCAGCTTGAAAATTACACTGGGTGCCTGAGCATGTGTACCCAAAATCCTGAGAAGAGAATGGAGAAGGGATTGCAGCATGGTTATCTATCCTAGGGGGTGATTTCTCAGTTTCTTTCCTTCTGTCCTCTCTGGCAAGTGCACATGCCCTGTGATAAAAACCTGGGGATGGGAGTGGGGGAAATAGGGCATTCCACAGCTGAACAGAGGAAACTTTAAAGGAAAGGTAAACCAGGAGCTATTAATTTGAACTTTATTAAAGTTTTAAATGGTTCTTCTTTTCATTCCTTCCTCCCTCCCTTCTTTCCTTCCTTCCTTTTTTTTTTAAACAAGTGAGGACATGTTCTTAAATACTCAATGTTTATGGAAGCAAATGATGGTATCTACCATTTATTCAGTAACTACTGTCTGTTAAGCACCATGCAATTTTCCATTTATTGATAAGCAATAATCCTTCATCTTTATCCTAATTTTATAAATGAGAAAACTCAGGTACAGAGAATTTAAATAACTTGTCTGGTGTTCCAGTACTACTAATAAATGCTAGAACCAGAGTTTGAGGACAAGTCTCTTTACACCAAGGTTTGTATTCTCTTATGTAAGCAACTCTGCCTGTGACACTAAAAGAACTGAAATAGAGGTGAGAGAGGGTATAGTTTACCTACTTGAACCTTATAAATCTCTACTTCGTATTTGACTCAAAGAAAGAAAATCTTGTTCTTATTTAAATTCATTTACTTTTTTTCACAGAATTTTGAAAAACAATGTGTACAAGGTTCCAATTCTTGTAAGTTCTTACAGCAGTACCCTGAGGGCAAAAGAGAAGTCAAAGCACTCGTGGCTCGCCAGATTGTTTTGCCAGATCCAGGTGTTGCAGGCTTCACTGTCATTGACTACTTCCGTCAGTTTTTGCAGACTTCCAATTTGAAGAAACTTCATTGTGGCTCCCAGGCACCGAATAGCCATATACTTGCTTTAGATCACTCAAATAGTGACCTTAGCAATATAGATTGTTCTGATAGTACGTCTTCTTTTTCCAAGTCTTGTGGCAGAGAAAATTTTTCAAGATTCTGTCAGCCCTCCCTTGAACTCATTTCCATTGTATCACAGCTAACAGATAAAGATGATTTGTTAACTTTAGACCAGAGCAAGACCATTAGTAGTCTTCACCAGAACAAAAAGTCCTATGCAGAACCCTCTGGTTCCAATAGCTGCCATGACCCCACTTTTGGTTCATGGAGCCTTGTTTCATATATGGATAAAAAGTGTGCCGCAGAAAAGTTGGATGAAGAACTTGGCTCACAAACTAATCAAATGAGTGCAGTTCACAGCAGTCAACATGAAATTAGAGCTACTGATTCTGATATATCCCCTTTGAAAACACGAGTGCCCTCGGAGTCAAGTAATACAAAATTCTTCAGCAGTTCAATAGAAATTAAAAATAGCTATTCCCAGCATGAGCTACCATGTTACCAGCATCATAATATAGATACTTCCAGTAGCATTCAAGAGAAATATACATGGTGTCCACCTTCATCACTCAGACTTCTTGAAGATGGAGTTGACAGTTCCCAAGATTGTGACCCTGAGATTTGGGATGATCTACCATTCTCTGAAAGCCTGAACAAGTTTCTGGCAGTTATTGAAAGTGAGATTGCTGTAACTCAGACAGATGCCAGTAGTAGGGAACATCATGTAGATAATGACCTCGATAAACTTCATACAGACTGTAGCAGGTTGTCTATGACTCCCCAGAGAACCGCTGGAGCCATGTGTACACCACCTGTAGCTAAGAGATCATCACAGGCAACAGTCAAAGCAAGCTCTAGCAAAGATAACTTCCTTTCCAACTGTAAAGCAAATCCAGGGCCTAGTATTCAAAATAAATCACAATCAGATAACACATCAGAGGCTGTCTCTATAAGTAGTAATAGAGGAGATATTTTAGAATGTTTTCAGCCAAACACTTACCTGTCACCTCTGTTTTCATCTTCGAAAAATTTCAAAACAATAGTTACTCTTAAGGAGACTATCAAAATTCCACCACATACGAATGAAATTTCACTTAAGCCCAGTGCTTCAGAGAGAGACCATTCTTATTTCAATTTGAAATATTTTAATGGGCATGGAGAAAAATCACTTTCAAAAATGAATGAAGAGTTGAGAACTTTGTGTTCTAGGAAATATAGTGATTTTTCTGATCTTTGCACATTAGAGAACAAACAATATTACAGGTGGCCAAAGAATCAAGGTGAGAGTTTTACAATTTGTAGGAAGCTTACATATCCTTTAGAAACTGTTGGCAGTAGTCCAGATGGAAGTACAAATGCATTGAAAAAAATGCCTCATGGACATTTCACTAATAACTTACCACACAGGTATTCTACTGGTCATGAAGGTAGCTACAATGCTTCTGTTGATCTCTTTGATGATATTGCTAAAGAAATGGACATCACAACAGAAATTACAAAAAAATCACAGGATATTCTGTTACACCAGGGAACATCTTTTGCTGAAAAAAGTAACCCTGAAGAGTCTGATTTTTCATTGAGATCACTTTTTGAAAACTCCAGCCAGTCTTCACAGAAATTATCATTGCACAGCGTATCTGCCTCTAGGTATCCAAGAACATGTTCTCCTCCACCCCATTTTCAGTCAGATTCAGAATATGATTTTGAAGATAGCCAAGATTTTGTCCCATGTTCACAGTCAACTCCAGTTACAGGATTTCACCAGACGAGAATTCCTGGGATAAACAGAGCTTTCGAGAAATTATCTTCCTTTCTTTCAGATCTTGATGATAACTATAAAAAAGCAAGGATTTCCCCTGAAAATGGCAAACAGCAATCTACCCCAAGCTTTCCAAAATATGTAAAAACATCCAGCAAGAAATCCAGAAGCCCTATTATATATGGTATTACACAACCAGAGGTTTTCAACGACCATCCTGTTGCTGAGTGCTTTGAAACTGATGATGAATGGGTCCCTCCTACTACAAAAAAAGTATTTCTTTCAGATAAGCTTGGATTCCAAGTCATGGGTCTAAGGAAGTGCCTTGCTGCCCACAATTCTGATCAAGAAGAGTTACCAAGAAAGAAACTGAAACATGTCAAGCAAGGAACTGATGCTGATAAATGTTTAATTAAGAAAGAATTCAAGAATATCTTTACAACCATAGTTACAAAACAGAAAACTCCTAAGTATAACTATAAAAGTTCAGGCTGCATTTCCAAAAAGTCAGTTTGTGGATTTGATGCTTGTTCAGAAGTCAAATCTTGTCTTCCATTTTCTGAAAATTGCCCACCTTCAGTTCCTGAAACTGAAACTGCTTGGTCACCTGAATTATTTTCATAAAAAGTCACCTAAGCTTTTAAAGGCAAAACTGTTTAGAAATTTCTACCTCGAGTGGCATAGACAGCATTCTTTCCCTTTTGAATACTTAAAGAGAAACAAATAGAAAAAAGGGCTATAGTAAGTGCTGTTGTGCCTTTTGAAATTTTATAAAGCCATTTTTTCCCAGAGTTTTGTCCACAGTCATATAATTCAGATAATTGAGCACTTTATCTTATATTGTTGATTGTATTCTAATAATATTGTTAATGTTGCTTTTAAAAATTATTTGTTAAAATTTCATGCATATCCAGAAATAAAACCTTTGCAAACTAAAATATTAACTCTTAATTCTTCAACTCAAGTGAGAAAATACCTGTTGTATTATATAGTAGACTATTTCAAAAGACTTTAGTCTGCTACATAAGGCACATGTAAACACACACAAGTATTTATTGAATGCTTAACTACATTTCAGGCACTGTGGTTGGTGACACTGGACACCAGTAACCTACTACTTTTCTCTGCCTCCTACTTCATGGAGAATATTAAGATCACCTGGTATTCCCTCAACTGTTCATATCTAACATGGTTATAGGTGTAATCACCCACAGCTTCGTTATTTCTCAGAAAATGATGCACATGGTTTTTTTAATTTTTCATTTTAATGAAATCCAATCTACCAATTTTTTCCTTTTTCTTTTCTCTCTTTGTTGTTGTTTGTTTTTTCAATTGTCAGAGGGCACATGTCCTTATCAGAGAGAAAAAACGAGAAGCTCCCTCCAGTGGTGGCATGGTCACACTACTACCCCTTTTTCCTCCATTTCTCCATCCTGTTCTGTAGTTTGAGTATGCAAGCACAACACCTGACATGTATTTCAAGCTACTTGGGCTTGGAATTTGAACTGCAATTAGCTGTGTAAGATCTGGCTCACAAATAGCACTTAACCACCATGCTATTGGGCCATCTGACCAAAGCACACTGCAGTGCTAATCTTTCTATTTGGGCTATTGATTCATTACACCTAACTTCTTTGGGAATCTTAACAAATATTCCCTCCTGGATTCTAACCTTGTTATACAGGGTCTCTCCCTCTGCTCACTTTTTATTTTGGAATTTTGTGAACACAACATTTGAATAATAGAAACATCTATATATACCATCTAGCTATAATCATTTTTAACATTTGGCCATTTGTGTATTTGCTTTCTATGTATCTATATAGATAGTACTCATCTGTTTTTGCTAAACCATTTAAAGATAAGCGGCAGATAGGACATTTCAGCTGTAAATACAGTCATGCACTGTGTAAGGACCTTTCAGTCAACAAGACAACGTATTCAATGGCAGTTCCATAAGGTTATATCATATATAGTAGACTATACTCTTAAGTTGGTGTAATAAGTGCTTTCTATGATGCAAGGATATGGCTGACCAGCCCTATTTTTTTTTTTTTTTTGGAGAGATTTTCACTGTAGGGCGCGTGCGCTCGCCAGACAGAGAGACATAGAGACAGAAAGCGAGAAATCACCCCCTAGGGGGGATGGTCACGCCACAATCCCTTCTCCTCCATTCTCCTCTCGGGATCTTGGGCACGCACGCACACGCTCCCGGCGTGAGTTTTAAGCCACCGGGTCCGGGACACGAACCGCGGTCGACTACGTGGGAGTCCAGCGACATAGCCATTACACTAACTGCTGGTTCCCACCAGCCCTATTTTTTTCTGGTACATGTGCTCACCAGAGAGACAGAAGACAAATCACCCCCTACCCCCAGGGGGGATGGCCACACTGAATTCCCTTCTCCATTCTCCTATGAGTTTCAAGCCTCCAGATCTAGGACTACAAAACATGACTGACTACTTGGGAGTCCAGCATCGTAACCATTATGCCATCTGCTGGTCTCCCAGCCCTAGTTCTTAAGAAATTGATGACCTCTTGCTTTCCTCCATTTCTTTCATCTATTCTTTTGTGCCTCCCCAACCAAACTGGCCATTGAGATAGATAGGTTCCAGGTGGTTAGGGCAAACATGCTTCCAAACCAGGTGTAGTCCCTTTGAGTTACTTTTAAAAGCTTAGGCTTGCTGTGGAGTGATTGGCGTCTGGGGAGCAGAGTATGAAGCATACTGGGGTGAAGGTGCAAGTGCCTTGGGGTTCCCATCCAGTTGGCTTTTCCTGTACGTGAGTTTACCTTATCTGTTTTTTGTTTGTTTCTGTCTTAAATTTTGCTATAGAGCACATGTGCTTGCCAGCAGGAGACAGACCAAGTGAGAAGGCATATCCCCATGAGGTATGGCCAAGCCATAACCCTTTCTTTATTGTCATCAGGATTTGGGGCACATATGCCTGGCATGTTTTTTAAGCCACCCAGTCCAGGACTCAAAACTCACAGTAGGCTATGTGGGACCCATCTGCCTTAACCAGACTGAGTGAGCTTATCTTATAATAAACCCCAGTGCGTTTATTGTAATGGTCTTGTTCTTGTCTTTGGTCCTACCTATCCCACACTCAAAACAGGTTCAAGTAACAAGATCACCTTATGATACATTTCTCAGCATAGATCCTGGTCTACATAGCTACAATATTATTACACCAAGAAACAATAACAAGTTTTCCAATGTCATCTAATATTCAACCCTTAACCAAATGTTTCTATTTGTCCCCAAGTTGTAATTGTTGACATTATTTAATCAGGGCTTCATCAAGTTTCATCCATGACGTTTTGTTGTCTCTTTTCAGAACTTCACCTTATTTTACGTAACATTGATTTTATGAAAAAAAAATTAACTACTGTTTTGTAGAATGTCCCACATTCTAGACCTGTAGGTATGCTTCACTGTGGAATTAGTATCTTGTCCTTCTGTTCCCCAGTATTTCCTGTAAATTAGGTCTAAAGGTATAATTAGATTCATGTTTCTGACAGGGATTTTTCATGGTTTATGTTGTATACTTAATTTTGTACCACATTATGAGACAATATCAAGTTGCCCCAATATTAGTGATGCTGTTAGGTTTTTTGGTTAAGATGTTGCTTACTAGGTCTGCATTATAAAACTGCTTTTCTTTTTTTTTTTCCTTTTTGAGAATGATGAGTAAGTCTTTTCCTTATAATCACTACAGACTCAAGCACTTTTATTTTATTGATGATTATAGTCAATTACTCCTGTTATTATTGTTGATATTCTATATAATATTCTTCATTACTTCCCTGTTAGCTGCCATTCCTGTTCATAGACAGGCTCCTTTAAAAAGTAGTCATTGTCATGCCAGTAGGTGGTGTGGAGGCTAACACTGCTGGATCCTGCATGGGCAACTGTACAGTTCAAGTCCTGGACCCAGTGGCTTAAAAAATGCCAGGTGCGTGTACATGTGTGTTCAGACTCCTAAGAGAGGAATGGAGAAAGAATTGCAGCATGGCCATCACCCCATGTGGGGAGCAGGCAGGGGTGGTGATTTCTCACTTTCTCGAGTATACATACCCTGTAGCCAAAAAAAAGGTCTTTGTTGGGGGCAGCAGGTGGCGTGGTGGTTAAGGGCACTGGACTTCCACATGACCTACTGTAGTTAGCATCCTGTACCTGGTGGCTTGCTTACTCACTTTTCTTCTCTCTCTCTCTCTTTCTCTGGTCAAATTAGAAATAAATAAATAGTTAAATAATTATTAAAAAAAAAAAAGGTTATTGTCAACTTTCATATTGTTCACTATTCAACCAACTCTGTTCTATTTCCTTGCCTACCTCCAGTGGCTTTAGTGTCAATGGCTTTCTATCCTCAGATCCAATGGATTTGTTATTTTTTTTAAATTGGACCTGAGCTTTTGTTTAATTTTTTTAATTTATTTATTTTGATTCAGGACTCAAACCATGGTTGGCTGTGCGAGGAGTCCAGCACCTTAACCACCATACCACCTGCTGGCCCCCTAGATTTGTTATTTATCTCTTTTACTTCCTCCATTTCTGAGGTACTGTTTTCATGGTTTCTGGTTTCTGTGCTCTATGAGGGATGTCATGTAGGGTAAGTAGTTTTTGCAGGACTCTTAACCTATATACACAGTTTTATTTTAAAATGTTCTACAAAATTTATGGGCTTGTATAAGGTAAAGTGGATTATCCATAATAGTTTAGAAAATGGATAGAGAAAATGGTTTATATTTATTGTCCAGTCAGTACATTCAAAGTTTATTTTATTTATTTATTCATTTATTTATTTTTAAAGAATTATCTTATTTAACATTATTTATTTTAATTCAACCAAGGAGGGACGGGGGCGGGGGGAAGTGAGAAAGTAAGCTGCCAGGTCTGGGACTCAAACCCTGGTCAGCCTTGTGGAAGTCCAGCACCTTTTAACCACCATGCCATCTGCCAGCCCCTATTTACTTATCTTTCATTTGACCACAGAGAGAGAGACAAAGTGAGAAAGCAAGCCACCAGGTCTGACACTCAAACCATGTTTAGCTGTGTGGGAGCACATTTACCATCTAACTACCTACTGGTCCCAAAAGATTCTTAATATACAGGCACTATTTCTTTCTTTCTTTCTTTTTTTTTTTTTTTTTTTTTTTTTTTGAAAATTTTTTGTTTAGGGGGTTTTTTTTGAGAAGTTTTTGCTATAGGGTGCATGTGCTCACCAGAGAGACAGAGAGATAGAAAGCAAGAAATCACCCCCCCAGAAGGGATGACCACACTACAATCACTTCTCCATTCTCCTCTCGGGATCCTGGGCATGCACGCACAAATGCCCAGAATGAGTTTAAGCCACCCAGTAAGGGACTCAAACTGCAGTGGGCTACATGGGAGTTCAGTGACATCGCCTTTACACTAACTGCTGGCCCCCCCATTTCTTTTTTAAGACAAGGAAATATCTTCTTTTTGTCCAATGTTCATTCCTAGCTAATCTCATACTTTCCATGGTGATAGAAGAGTAACAGTATAGTTAGTATTCACAATATCATGACTTTTCAGAAACTGAATTAAACTACAGAGATCTTGTCTCTAGTTTCCTAATATAATGTGTTTAGTGCCAGTTACATCATTATGACACTGCATCAATTATGCCACAATGAATACTGGCATCCAGTGACTCAAAGATTGATACTGTGCTTCACTGGTGATTACCAAAAATGCAAGTCCTACCAGAGTATGCAAGAAATGAATTAATTCATTTTCTGGTCATTATCATTTGGGCTTCCGTAGTGTACACACTGAACACACATTCTAACCATGTCTTAAACTGTTTAGGCTGTAATTACTGCATTTCTAGATAGTAATCTCTTGATCCTCCCAGGAAGGATCAGTGTGGCTTAAGCCCAAATCTGGAGAACATAGTGTCACTA